AATGGTAATAGTCTGTTTGGTCAACAATCAAAAATCTGTCTATGTCCCCCATCTCTTTCTATATATCTCACTATCTATCTATCCATCTATCTCCCCCATCTCTCTTTTCCTTCCTCTCTCTCTCACTCTTTATCTATCTATCTATCCATCTATCTCCCCCATCTCTCTTTCCCTCTCTCTTACTATCTATCTATCCATCTATCTCCTCCATCTCTCTTTCCCTCTCTCTCTCACTATCAATCTATCCATCTATCTACCCTCTCTATTTCCCTCTCTCTCTCACTATTTATCTATCCATCTATCTACCCTCTCTATTTCCCTCTCTCTCTCACTATCTATCTATCCATCTGTCTCCCCATCTCTCTCTATCTATCTATCTATCTATCTATCTATCTATCTATCTATCTATCCATTTATCTCCCCATTTCTGTCTGTCTATCTATCTATCTATCTATCTATCTATGTCCCCCATCTCTCTATATATATCTCACTATCTATCTATCCATCTATCTCCCCCATCTCTCTTTTCCTTCCTCTCTCTCTCACTCTTTATCTATCTATCCATCTATCTCCCCCATCTCTCTTTCCCTCTCTCTTACTATCTATCTATCCATCTATCTCCCCCATCTCTCTTTCCCTCTCTCTCACTATCAATCTGTCCATCTATCTACCCTCTCTATTTCCCTCTCTCTCTCACTATCTATCTATCCATCTATCTACCCTCTCTATTTCCCTCTCTCTCTCACTATCTATCTATCCATCTGTCTCCCCGTCTCTCTCTATCTATCTATCTATCTATCTTTCTAACTATGTCCCCCATCTCTCTCACTATCTATCTATCCATCTGTCTTCCCCATCTCTCCTCTCTCTCTCTCTATCTATCTATCTATCTATCTTCTAATTATGTCCCCCCTCATCTCTCATTCTATCTATCTATCATCTTCTATAAATCTCTCTCTCCCCCTCTCTCTCTCTCTCTATCTATCTATCTATCTATCTATCTATATATCTATCTATCTATTCATTTATTCCCCCCCTCTCTCTCCCCGCTTCCGGCGTTGTCTTCAGATCACCAATAGTTGGTTTCCATTTTTTCTCGTTTTTCATGACTCCTCTCTTGAACAAGGTGTCTCCAACCACTGCGATCTTCTGTAAACTTTTCCCCAGCTACTAGCACTAATGCCTGTGAGATTCGAACCTCTCTTTCATTCGTAGTGTCTAATGATGGCCTATGTCCAGCTCACCGTACCCCGCCATCGAAGACGGCGTTAACAGAGAAGGCGATTGCTTGCCACAGAACAACAATGAGTGTTCCACAGGTGGTAATTGTTGGAGTAAAAAGTTGGGACCTTCTGTTATTCTTAAAAAAATTAAATAAAATATTAGATGTATGCTAAATGCTTCCAATTGACATTTTAAAAGCGGAGGCTGAATAATTCAGACCAGTACACTTGGGAATATTAAGGATCTCTCTCTTCTCCCCCACTGCCAAGGTAATGGTCAATCGCAGAGTAAACTGTGTCCTCTAGCTTTGATAGGCAGCCAGTCAAAAAGAATAAAATTCTCAATTCAAAACCGGTTGGGCGTGGAAGTATTAACTCCACCCTGCAAAATCGATATACTACAGAAAACACCGTAGCAACAACTAGCATTGTGTGATGAGGCTGTGTAGTGAGACTGTTACCCTATACTTTGTTGAGGGCCGGTGTCTGAGTTGAGAGATAAACATGTGTGTCTCCTGAAATGTCCACAACAAACATGGCACACTCGGAATATGAGTCTACCTAAAGAAGAGTAAACAAGCAACAAGAAGCGATATATATGTACAAACAAATGATAATGTATTAACAACAAAGGTTTACAAATGACAAAGACATTAATGTGTGTAATAAATGAATGTGGAAACTTTTGGTTCCAACATATGTGAAGTGAGTGAACGTGCGTACGTACGTGTGTGTATCTATGGTTGATGCGTTTCCCAAAAAGGGACGCGCGATCTTCCGCGAGAGATTGCCGTATAAGGGGAAAGTAAGAAAAGAATGCGAATAATTATCGCGGAGTATTTATAGTACCGGAAAGCGTCCCCTAGGTGCAGTTTCGAAAATTAGGAGGAAATAACTCTATACTTTATATAGAAATCTGTAAGGTTAATGATCAGAGGCTAAATACGGAGTTGAAAACCGGTTTTCGCTCTGCATATCTTTATACAAACACAATAACTTTTAGTTTTTATACATACTAAACCTTTTCTGTAATAATGACAAGAATAATTGAATTTGGTTTGAAAATTATTTTTTTTATTAACTATTCCATTATTTAATTTGACGAATGTTAATCGGACTGGAAACAAAATCTCAGCTACTACAAAGTTACCTCGTCTCGGGACAATACCCTTTTGCAACGTTTCCCAACCTATGGCCACATGGTCACAATGATTGTTGGTTGGTTGTTTTGTGGCATATCAACGTTAGTGGGTCATTTAATGACAACAAATTTTTTTAAATAGATTCATAGCCATAGTTTAGAAAAAACGCTGTATATGAATCTCTCTCTATAAAAGGCAGGATGTGTGTGTGTGTGTGTGTGTGTTTGTGTGTGTGTGTGTGTGTGTGTGTGTGTGTGCGTGTTTTTGTGTGTGTGTGTGTGTGTGTGTGTGCGTGTGTGTGCGATGTGTGCGCGCGTGTGTGTGTGGATGTGTGTGTGTGTGTGTGTGTGTGTGTGTGAACAGGTGCGTGTGTGTGTGTGTGTGTGTGTGTGTGCGTGTGTGTGTGCGTGTGTGTTCGCGTGTGTGTGTGTGTGTGCGTGTGTGCGTGTGTGTGTGTGTGTGTGTGTGCGTTGTGTGCGTGTGTGCGCGTGTGGTGGGTGTGTGTGTGTGTGTTAGTGTGTGCGTGTGTGTGTGTGTGTGTGTGTCGAGCGTGTGTGTGCAAAATGCATAGCCGCAATTTCAAAGGGATTTGCACCTTCTTTACATGGATGCTAAAAGTTATTCTTCTCCAACAAGGACTCTGAGACTCTTTTAACTCCCATAGATGGTAAATAATCGATTTTTTTTCAGCTCCTATAAATCAGATTTTCATGTAATTTGCGGCCAATTTCAACTGGCCAGAGTGAGAGGCTATAGCTGGCTGCCACAAATAGGCAGGAAGATTCTATTAGCCATATAAGAGCCAACAGCTGACTGACACGAATGTTAACTAGTATGCTAGCATGCAAAAAAAATCGATAGCTGCATTCTGTCAGAAGTGAAAAATTCAAATCTGCATGGCACTTTACTCCAATTGGCACATTTGCTTGCTTAAACTCAACGTTGATTCTGATTCCGCAGAATGGGTTGGGTGTGAAAAATATTTGTTGTTAACATTCTTTTCATTCGTTTTTCCAGTTACGAGTCCTTTTTTAAAGCTGATCGTTTTGTGTTCATTTTGTTTAGTTCTTTTTTTTCGTAACAGATTTAATGTTTAGTATAGAGCTTAGAAAAAATTTGCGTGTGAGATAGGCAAGAAGTAAGGCATGTAGCAACATCAGCACGGCAAAGGGCACTCTTTTTTAAAAAAAACCAAGGAAGGGCAAAAATATTTTAAGTCAAGTGATAATAATTGCTGCATGAGTCGTACGATTTTTGAATCAAGCACGGGCAGCGCCGGGCCATGCTGCCAGTCAACTATATATTTGAATCATTTTTCAATTACTCATATTTTTTAGTACAATCCAACTTCTTAAGAATATATAGCTGTTTGTATTACTGGTATTTTTTTATATATTGCTGATAAAATAATTTTCCTTCAAAAATTATGCTAGTAATAATTTATTTTTTATTACAAAGTATTTCTGGTATTAAAACCTATTTATACACAAGTTTGAGTGTTAACTATTTGCCCATAGCTGAGACCCTAACAGTCGGACATTGTCCATTTCATAATGTGTGACGTCATTTGTTTACATTTGGATACGCTTTGAGCAGATATGAATGTACGTGAGAGATTCCTGGAAGATTGTAGTTTAAAGGCATTAAATTCGACCTTGCTAATCGAATGATCGCCTGTGGCTCTATCGGTTAAGAGCACGTCAGGCTCTATGACGGTTCCGTATAAGATACAGGTTCTGTCGGAGGACAAATATTTTCTATGAAAATTTCTCGGACCTTCAGGCAAGTAAATGTTATTAATACTGCTTATTATAAAATTATTATAAACAGAGCATTGACTAAAATATTTGTATCTATAAAAAGAATGTATAAACATAAAAATGTCTTAAAATAATTGTCGGATCTTCTTCATTTCATAAAATTCAAATATACCGGCATTGTGTATTCGACGTTACGTTTAGAACACTTAAACAGAACTTGAAAACGCTAGGAGCCGAAAATATTTTAAGCAGATCTTAAATTTTTTATTTATATTTATATATATATATATATATATATATATATATATATATATATATATATATATATGTATATAGAGAGTAAAAAAGATTAAACACTAATATTCCATGGTCATAATTTATTCCATTGGAATCAAATACGCTCCAATTCATCAGACCTACCAAATTCCTATATATATATGTATATATATATATATGTATATATATGAAACAGGAGATAGTTTTATATATACTGCTCAATATAAAATTAATATTAAAATAATATTAAAAACAGACCGTTAATAATATTATACTATTATATGAAAAAATTACTTATCTTTCAAATATCAATTTTATCCCGAAGATGCGGAACAATTTTTTAAAAAAATGCATAATATTAGAAATACCGTTTAAAACCACAACCCCTGAAGACTGGAAATTTTACCAAGAAACTTCAAAGTCAGGATAAAATTAATCTTTCAATTTAAATAATCTGTCCATATAAATTTTATATATATATATATATATATATATATATATATATATATATTTTAAATTTTATATATATATATATATATATATATATATATATATATATATATATATATATATAAAATTTAATATTTTAAGCAGATCTTAATTTTTTTCATTTATATATATATATATATATATATATATATATATATATATAAAATTTCAGGCAACTTTAAAATAACACAATTCTTATTCTGCGAGTATTAACATTGATATTCGTTTGAATAACTTTCATTTGTTTATTAACTTAAGGAGTTTTGTCCAGGATTTTGACTATTTACTCATGAAGACTAAGAGAAAAAGAACTGGAAAGGAAGAAAGAAAGAAAGAAAGAAGTACATAAAGAGAAAGAAAAAAGGAAGAAGTTATATGAAAAGAAAGAAAGAAGGAAGGAAGCATATGAAGAGAAAGAAAGAAAAAAAGAAGGAAAGAAGTACATGATAAGAAAGAAAAATGAATGAAGTATATGTAAAGAAAGAAAGAAAGAGGCATATGAAGAAAAAGAAAGAAACAAAAAAAAAGAAAAGAAGTATATGAAGAGAAAGAAAGAAAGAAAGAAGGAATATGAAAAGAAAGAAAAATGAATCATATGAAGAGAAAGAAAGAGAGAAGTAAGGAAAGAGGTATATGAAAAGAAAGAAAAAAGAATGATGTGTATGAAGAGAAAGAAAGAAAGAAAGAAAGAAAGAAGTATACAAAGAAAAAGAAAAAAAAAGAAGTTATATGAAAAGAAAGAAAGAAAGAAGCATATGAAGAAAAAAAGAAAGCAGGAATGAAGTATATGATGAGAAAGAAAAATGAATGAAGTATATGTAAAGAAAGAAAGAAAGAAAGAAAGAAAGAAAGAAAAAGGCATATGAAGAGAAAGAAAGAAACAACGAAAGAAGAAAAGAAGTATATGAAAGGAAAGAAAGAAAGAAGGAAGGTAAGAAGTATATGAAGAGAAAGAAAAAAAGAAAGAACTATATGAAAAGAAAGAAAAATGAATCATATGAAGAGAAAGAAAGAAAGAAAGAAAAAGGTATATGAAAAGAAAGAAAAAAGAATGATGTATATGAAAAGAAAGAAAGAAGGAAAGAAAGTATATGAAGAGAAAGAAAGAAACAAACAAACAAAGAAGTATATGAAGAGAAAGAAAAAAGAAAGAAGTATATGAAAAGAAAGAAAGAAATAAGTATATGACGAGAAAGAATGAAACAAAGAAAGAAGGAAAGAAGTATATGAAAAGAAAGATAAAAAGAATGATGTATATGAAGGGAAAGAAAGAAAGAAGTATATGAAAAGAAAGAAACAAACAAAGAAAGAAAGAAAGAAAGGAAAAAAACAAAGAAAAAAAAGAAAATAATTTGTGTAAAAACCTCGCTGTCATCCCCAGTTCCATAACTTTTGTTATAATTGATGCTGTCAAATATTTTTAATTGATCTGAAATGACGTCATTTGAAGCGCGTTCAATTTCATTCCTTTTACTCCATTCTCCTGATATAATTTTGACAGATTCAAGTTTATGCCTGTCGCGCCTCAAGACGCCTGACATGATCGGTCATCAAGCGACCCAACTTACTCGCTGAAGAGGTTTTATCTCAGCTCAACTGCAAACAGCATCTCAGAGATTTCCAATCGCAGTTATCCTTATCAATGTGCTTTATTCTAATATGCATGATTTTACAAGTACAAGAGATAATTATTGCTATTCAATCAGCATTGGTATGTTGTAATCAATAAAATCATATCTTTTGAATTTGGAAATAATCCATTACCATTCTAAAAATATTCCAAAGCAAGTGCTCTTTTTCCAGGACAGAATTTATGAGGTGGAATTTGAATGAAAGCATTGATGGCAGATAGCGCTATTTTAGCAAAAATTCAGAATGTGAAATTACTAAATACGAAACATTTTAAATATTTTCGTATATTGTTGTAATCTAAGGGAAGGTTACTGAATAGAATAATCAAACGAAGGTTGGTAATGAACGATAATACTTAGGACAAGAACAACGCATATAAGATTCGCCAGCGGCGCGTAGAAGAAATAGTCAACTGCTAGAAGTGAGTCAAGTGAATCTCCAACACTAGGATATCTACCAACCACCCCACACGGTCAGATATGGCACCAGGCCGAATTTAATATGGGGTATCTCGGCACGTAGTCTCGGCCAAAATTCTCCGTAGACCCCCGTGTAAAACGGTGTCCAGTAGTTGCTTACCGAGACGAGACTCTGCCCTTCGACATAGCCTTGTCTGGGGATCCTCTCTACCTGGAGGCAGAGAATTTGACCATCACAGCTGGAGATGAATCTCCAACTGCAGGATATCTACCAACAGCCCTACGCGGCCAGATGTGACACAAGGCCGAATTTAATGTGGGGTATCCGAGCCCGTAAGCTCGACCAAAAATTCCACGTAGACCTCCGATAAAACGTGATCTGGGAGCTATTTTCCGAGCCGAGACTCTGCCCTTCGACATAGCCTCGTCTAGTGATCCTCTCTGCTCAGAGGCAGAGAGTTTGACCAGCACATCTGGAGACAAATCTCCGACTCTAGAATATCTACGAACCGCCTCATGCGGTCAGATGTGACACAAGGCCGAATTTAATGTGTGTCATCCGAGCCCGTAGGCTCGGTCAAAAATTTCCCGTATAAAACGTGGTCTGGTAGCTGCTTCCCTTCGACATAGCCTCGTCTGGGGATCCTCTCTGCGCGGAGGCAGAGAATTTAACCAGCACAGCTGGATACGAATATCCAACTCTAGGATATCTACCAACCACCCACTGCAGTCACATGTGGCGCAAGACTGAATTTAATATGGGATATCCAAGCCCGTATACGCGGCCAAAAATTCCCCGTAGACCTCGTATAAAACGGGCTCGGGTAGCTCTTTCCCGAGACGAGACTCTGCCCTTCGACATAGCCTCGTCTGGGGATCCTCTCTGCTCGGAGGCAGAGAATTTGACCAGCACAGCTGGAGACGAATCTCAAACTACAGACCAACATACAGTATTCATTATTGTATTTATGGGAATGACGACATACCCAGTATTTGCCGCACGAATACTACAACAAATACAGATCTGTATTCAAAAATGTAATGGATTTTATTTAAATGTTATTTTTAGTGGATACCCAATTTTGAAATGATGCTCCGTTTATACAGTATAATTAATTTCATCTACCGGCCTGAATATTCGAAAAAAACTTATTAAATAAGATTTTCCGATAATGAAATATTAGGTAAATGGTAGTGTTAATATGTAACTTTATAGGTAAATATTGGTCAAGCTTATATTTGAGTTCTTAAGTTAATATTAGTCATCCATTATATAATCCGCAAGCCTTTATCTTTGGTTTATGAGGAGTCACAGTATTTCAGGATTACGAGACAGGAAGTTTGGAAAGAGCTAGAAAATGCAGAAATAGTGTCTGCTGGCAATGTAGTGTAGACGATTAGCAGAGCAAATATAGAAACACAAAGGTTGACTTTTTCATCAATCGGATGTATGTGGGTGAAACATTCCAAATTGAAAGATACTATTGAATAAATTACTAGGTTTACGGCTACGAAAGTTGGTTCACTGTGACGTGCGAGACAATTTTTCTATCTTACTTAATCTATAAGTCAACCATTCGCCCATGCATTGAATATTGCTGCCACATCTGGTCTGGTACTTCTGCTATATATTTCAAGATTCTTGATAAAATCCAAAGAATCTATCTTATATATTTATAAGTCTACCATTCATCTTTGCTTTGAATATTGCTGCCACATCTGATATGGTACTTCTGTTATATATTTAATGATTCTACATAAAATGCTAACAAAGAATCTGCAATATGACCTGTTATCTCGACTTCAGAAGAAAGAGGAGTAGAAGAAGGAGGAGAAAATTAAGAAAGAGGAGCAGGGAGAGAATAAAAATAAGAAGAAGAAGAAGAAGAAGAAGGAGGAGGAGAAGAAGGAGAAGAAGAAGCAGGAGGAGGAGGAAGAGGAGAAGAAGAAGAAGAAAGAGGACGAGGAACAAAAATGAAGGAGGGGAAAGAAGCAAGAAGAGGAACAGAAAGAGTAGAAGAAGAGTGGAGCAGTAAGAAGGAAGGGGAGCAGGGAGAGAAGAAGAAGAAGAAGAAGAAGAAGAAGAAGAAGAAGAAGAAGAAGGAGGAGGAGGAGGAGGAGGAGATGAAGACAGGAGGAGGAGGAGAGAAAAGAAGGAAGAGGAGGAGAAGAAGAAGAAAAAGAAGAAGAAGAAGCAGGAGGAGGAGGAAGAGGAGAAGAAGAAGAAGAAAGAGGACGAGGAACAAAAATGAAGGAGGGGAAAGAAGCAAGAAGAGGAACAGAAAGAGTAGAAGAAGAGTGGAGCAGTAAGAAGGAAGGGGAGCAGGGAGAGAAGAAGAAGAAGAAGAAGAAGAAGAAGAAGAAGGAGGAGGAGGAGGAGGAGGAGATGAAGACGAAGCAGGAGGAGGAGGAGAAAAAGAAGGAAGAGGAGGAGAAGAAGAAGAAAAAGAAGAAGAAGAAGCAGGAGGAGGAGGAAGAGGAGAAGAAGAAGAAGAAAGAGGACGAGGAACAAAAATGAAGGAGGGGAAAGAAGCAAGAAGAGGAACAGAAAGAGTAGAAGAAGAGTGGAGCAGTAAGAAGGAAGGGGAGCAGGGAGAGAAGAAGAAGAAGAAGAAGAAGAAGAAGAAGAAGAAGAAGGAGGAGGAGGAGGAGGAGGAGGAGGAGGAGATGAAGACGAAGCAGGAGGAGGAGGAGAAAAAGAAGGAAGAGGAGGAGAAGAAGAAGAAAAGAAGAAGAAGAAGTAGGAGGAGGAGGAAGAGGAGAAGAAGAAGAAAAAGAGGACGAGGAACAAAATGAAGGAGGGGAAAGAAGCAAGAAGAGGAACAGAAAGAGTAGAAGAAGAGGGAGCAGTAAGAAGGAAGGGGAGCAGGGAGAGAAGAAGAAGAAGAAGAAGAAGAAGAAGAAGAAGAAGAAGAAGGGGAGGAGGAGGAGGAGATGAAGACGAAGCAGGAGGAGGAGGAGAAAAAGAAGGAAGAGGAGGAGAAGAAGAAGAAAAAGAAGAAGAAGAAGCAGGAGGAGGAGGAAGAGGAGAAGAAGAAGAAGAAGAGGAAGAAGAAGAA